CCTCCAATAATCATGAGATGTTTTTAACTTTTTATCGTATTCTAGGTACTAAATTTGCCTTTTTTCTCGTATTTTTTCTCAGGTTGGAGGCCCCTATTGGGCTTACCCTTAGGTCGGCGAGATGGCCTAACAGCAAATGAGACTGAAGCTAATGAATTGCCGTCACCTTTTGAACCTTTAGACAACATCATTAGAAAATTTTCTGCAAAGGGACTTGATTTGAGGGATACGGTTGTGCTCTCAGGTTTGCCTCCTCTTAACTAATAGACATGAACGCCTTGGTGTGACTTCCATGTACGAAAAATTATGTTAGATGTGCTCGATCAAATCAATAACTGCTTTTAAATTATAACAGGTGCGACACTATTGGATTGCTCAATGTTCACATTCAGCAAAGGCTATTCAACTTTGATGTGGTAACGGTAATCCTGATCCAGCACTTGATGCAGCATTTAGAAAAAGTTTGCAAAGCGTGTGTCCAAACCAAAATACTTCCGATACTCAACTGGTTGCTTTGGATGCTGCTACAACCAACAGGTTCGACAACAGCTACTACAGAAACCTAGTGAACAAATCTGGATTACTCCAGTCAGATCAAGATCTTATGACCGACAATAGAACTTCTTCAATGTTCAAAACTACAGCAAATACCCTTATTTATTCTCCAGAGATTTTGCAGCATCAATGAGGCAGATGGCCAGCATAGGTGTACTAACTGGCCAAAATGGAGAGATAAGGAAGAATTGCAGGGTGGTGAACTAGAAGAGGAGAGTTTGCAGAATAAATATCTTTATATATTAAGTTGAAATTCATGTTTGTATGTAACCAGTTAGCTACAACTGGAAGCAACATGAGCTAATGCTTTGACTACTTTGTGTTAATTCCAAGGTTTAATCCTACTATGACTTGAAGTGTGTAAAATGTCTACAGTATAGTATAATTAATTAGCATGCAAGTTAATTGCGCGCCGCCTGTTGAACTCAATCATTTATGATCTACACACTTGATTCGAATTAATTAATTAATTAATTAAACTAGTTTGAGTCAAAGATATGTATGATTGAAGAGGACTTTTATGGCGTTACTCAAATTTATATTTTGCATTGGATGAATGTCAAATATAATGATAAAGTCAATGGAACCATTTTTACGGGTTTTTCCTTAAAATTTGACTATAACAAATTTCTAAAACCCTAAACGTTATACTTATAATATGAAACTTTTTTAAATAATTTTTATAATTTTGAAATATTTAATATATGATTCAGTATTTTAACATAAAATGTGTATTTTACCCTTCCTTCAATAACTTTTACACAAAAAATGGACGGCAAATGATGTAATGGTTAATTATAGAGGGTAATTGCCAGTTATCCTATATTAGAGGGGGGTGCAACAAATTATCCCAACAAAACCTAACAAAGTTAAGGAAGTGGGATATTTATTTCACTGAGTTTCCAAATGATTATTATATTTGTCTATAAAAATAGAGTTTAATGAATTTTTATTTTTAAATATAAATTAAAGAGTGAGTAAATTTTTCATATCCCAATTTATTTAAAAATTATAAATTTCTATGCATTTTATTATAATTTTCTCTCTTATTAAGTCCTCTCATATTTATTAAGTTAATTTAAAGAGTCTATAGATTTGAATACAAATTTTGTTCTTATATTTAGAAATTAATAAAGATGTTCTTATTTATATGAAATATGTTTTTTAAAATAAAAAGCATCATTAGAGATGCTCTAACATATTGTTTTTTTTATTCACTGTAAAAAAGGAATATGCTTTCACTGTCCAATCTTCTTCAGCCCAACTGAGTCTACTGCATTCACGTGGTTACCCTTAAACATCCATATTGAGATTATCCTTCATTATTCAATTTTCTTCTTTCACTATCCTGAGAAAGAGAGAGAGAGAGAGAATGGAACCACCACCCGCACAAAGCATGAATTTCCAGGCCGGAGAAGATGAACAAGACAAAGCTATTAATGAATGGTATGTGTCCTTACTCCTTATCTTCTTCTTTTTTCCTTTTGTATATAAATCTGATTTGTTTGCTCTGTTTATTCATCCAAAAGAGCTATTTTGAATGTTCATTTGATTTCTTGGGATGCAGCTGCTCTTGCTGCTATGACTGCTCAGAGAACTGCCTTGACTACTTGTGTTGCTACAATCTCTGTTAGATTGTTTCATGGAGTAGGTTAGGTTAGGTAATCAGAAACAGTTTACTAATAATCTTATTGTAATTGTAGTCCCTTTTAGTGGAAACTCCATAATAACTTTTGATAAGAAGAATTTGAGCTCCCTTGTTAAATTATTTTTATGTTATCTGTTTTTCTTGCATTGTTTTAAGTATATCTTCTGCCTGCAGATACACTGTATCTCTTTCTGTTTGTTCTTCAAAATTATGTAAGAACAATTGAATTATGATGGTGCCATCAACGAAATGGTAAAGTTGAACCTTTACTTTATATTCTAACAAACCCACCCACTAATGCCATGTAAAATATAACTTCAAGTGTGCCTTTAGGCTTTAACTCATTGTATGATGTCATGTCAAGCTTGGATAAGCTGTATATCTTTCTTTATCAGTAACATTAATGCACTACTGATTCATTGTTTTGTTCTTATTACGTAGTCCATTATATGGGTTAACTATTCATAGACGACTCTCAGAGTCAAGAGGCAGAGCTGATGGATTTGTTTGTGAATGGTTATAACACTAGAACAGAATTTAATTTGGACGATCAAATCAAATTGCTGATTGATTTTTCAATGTCCTCGTGGTCTAAAAGCATAGTCCTTAAATGCAGAGTTAAACTAATCAGAGGTAGGAAGGAAATGGGATTGATATCATATAAAAAAAAATTCTCCCCAAGTTGCTTTTAGTTGAAGCCAGCACGCTAAAATTTGGAGCTTACGAAGAACTTTGATACCCCAATTAAAGTGACATAATCAAACATCACTGACCTCAAGTTGGAAAAATGTATACAGAGCATGAAAAGGCCTAAAAGACTTAACACTCCCCACAACAGTTTACAAAGAGTGCCACTCCTAATAATTAGGAGTTAGTCGACTACTTCAACAATAAGGGGCGAGGCAAACGCATACGAGGTCCATAGGCAGTTTAAGCCTATCCCATGAAGAGCCGCTGTAGGATTTCTCTAAGTAATAAAACTCCTAACTGGTCTTGGGCTTAGGAGAAAGGATCATAATAATATTAGGTTTTTCTCGTTAAACCTAGTATATAAGCATGTTTTTCTCTTGTATGAGTGATATAACAAATCATAGGTGAATACATTTATTGTAACGAGTCGAGGTGAGGGGATATTTTAATAATATTGACTTTGCTAAATATAACCAGGATTTTGGGTGAACCAGGACAAATCGCGTGTGTGTTTTCTCTTTACAGTTTACATCATTTGTGTGTGATTGCTTACTTGTTTGGTTTCCATCACTCTCTAGATTGTTTCATTGATGACACAAATAAATAAATCGAATATAACTATAATAATCTACACTCAAAGCCACCACAATTTCTATTTACAAAATTTTCTTGGCTTCAGCAGTGTTTTGTAATCTTAATATAACATTCATCACAATATGCCGAAGCAGACTCATGAAAACATAGCTTGTTGTGAAGAATTTCAGTCACAGTAGAGAACCTTGTAAAGCATAATAGGAAATTGCGCAATCGAGTTTACTGTCATCATCTTTGCTCCTTGTTTCTTAGAACAGCTATGAAAAAGATTACAAGAAGTGTGTCTATTTTGACCTAAAAACGAATTAGACTTGTGCATTAGGGAAATCATTTTAAATTGAACTATTGTGTAGCAGTGGATTCAAAACTAAGGCAACATGCTCCACTTTCGAGCTTAATGAACTTAACCTACTGTTCATAAACACAAGCTTGTTCGCTGAAACAGGAAGTGGTATACACATTGGAATCCAACATGAGATGCGACTGTTTGACTATATATATATATATAACAAAGTAGAGTCCTCCAAAACCTGGGCGGCAAAGATAAATTTTTATACTTTTTCCCTCGGAAGTATTTGTTTTAATAAGTGACCAATTGAATCCATGCCAGAAATTTGTAACAAGAGTATCAAAAAATATTAAAAGTTATATCTACAATGTAATTCATGTTTCAGGTTCTCAAGCAGACCTTCACCAGTAAATTTTTTTCACTTTGATTTGCCTGTAATACATAAATCAGTATTGTTCTATATTTAATTAAACTAGAGATTAAGGGATGTTATGCAGATTATCAGAAAGGACTGGCTCTTGCAAAAGGGTTGAAATATCCAATTGTTTTGCAAAGCTTAATTAAATCCATTACTCTCCTAGCAAAATGGCTGGCCCCATCTCCCACTTTCTGGTATATGCAGTTTAGCTCTTTTTTAACTACTATATTTTTTACTCTACTTGTATTGAAAAATCTTGTATCCAAGTCTTTGATAGATTCGTCTCACCAGCCCCCATCTAAACTGCATGCGCATATTCTACTACTTAATTACAAATTAACACACTTATAGTGGACTTTCGGCAATAAAAATATGATTTCTAACAAAAAGAGATAATTGTTGTCGTGGAAACTACAATTTGTCTCGAGGACGAAGCTTCTAATGACCAAAAAGAGAGTGACAACCGTCTCTCTGAAGTGCAATTTTTCTTACCACATGACAATTTAAGTCAAAGTTGAGAGTGTAGGAACTGGCTAGAGGCCACCATTGTTGTTCTAAAGAGGAATACATCATCTAGCCACTAAGAGAAATTTTAATTTTTTATGAAGTGGGATTAGCTGAGTTCTTCCACCATCAGCAATATTTATGGAATTGTGCCAAACTCATTGACAGTGACAACGTAAGTGACTTTGCCACTCTTCAAGTTCAGATATCTTAATCAAAATTAGCAGTTTGCATTTATCCTTTGGTTACTTTTGTGTATAAATTGCCCCAACTTCTGACTACTTGTCACACAATCCTGGTGACTTAGTGAGCAAATTACTCCATTTGCTTTGAAGATATGGAGCAAAATTCTAATAAACATCCCTTTCTTTACTTGTTCTGCCTCTTGTTCCTCAGTGCTTTGGTGTCCTGTCAACTTGATTATAACTATTATGCTAAAACTTGTCCCGGCCTGATACCAATTGTTCGATCAGGTGTTCTGTCAGCTGTTTCAAATGAGACCAGGATGGCTGCCTCTCTTTTGCGGCTTCACTTCCATGACTGTTTTGTTAATGTAATTTTGTTAATTTCGTCTTTCCTCTTGCCTTCTGTTTTTTAAATTAAGTTCAATTCATTAGTCTGTTATTGAGTGAGCATGGAAAAAGAGTAAAAGATAATAGTCATTATAAGGTATAAAGTTAAACAACTTTATGAAACTTTAGGGTATGAGAGTTCACTCAACTTCTAACCCCAATGATACTCATTGCATCTTACAAAAAAAAAAAAATGTTGATATTTCTACCTTAGCAAGTATTTTGAATGTAACAGTTTAGTATCTGCTGAAGCTTACTGCAGATAGCATTTTTTTCATTTTTTGAAATGCAGGGATGTGATGGATCTATATTACTGGATGATACAAGCTCAACTAAGGGGGAGAAAAATGCAGTGCCTAATCGAAATTCAGCTAGAGGTTACGAGGTCATCGATGCTATTAAGGCTAATGTGGAGAAATCTTGTCCAGCCACTGTTTCATGTACTGATATATTAACTCTTGCAGCAAGAGAAGCTGTTTATGTAGTAAGAAACCCCTCCCAATAATCATGAGATGTTTTTAACTTTTTATCGTATTCTAGGTACTAATATTTTGCCTTTTTTCTCGTATTTTTTCTCAGGTTGGAGGCCCCTATTGGGCTCTGCCCTTAGGTCGGCGAGATGGCCTAACAGCAAATGAGACTGAAGCTAATGAATTGCCCTCACCTTTTGAACCTTTAGACAACATCATTAGAAAATTTTCTGCAAAGGGACTTGATTTGAGGGATACGGTTGTGCTCTCAGGTTTGCCTCCTCTTAACTAATAGACATGAACGCCTTGGTGTGAACTTCCATGTACGAAAAATTATGTTTGATGTGCTCGATCAAATCAATCAACTTGCTTTTAAATTATAACAGGTGCGCACACTATTGGATTTGCTCAATGCTTCACATTCAAGCAAAGGTTATTCAACTTTGATGGCAACGGTAATCCTGATCCAGCACTTGATGTAGCATTTAGACAAAGTTTGCAAAGCGTGTGTCCAAACCAAAATAATTCCGATACTCAACTGGTTGCTTTGGATGCTGCTACAACCACCAGGTTCGACAACAGCTACTACAGAAACCTAGTGAACAAATCTGGATTACTCCAGTCAGATCAAGATCTTATGACCGACAATAGAACTTCTTCAATGGTTCAAAACTACAGCAAATACCCTTATTTATTCTCCAGAGATTTTGCAGCATCAATGAGGCAGATGGCCAGCATAGGTGTACTAACTGGCCAAAATGGAGAGATAAGGAAGAATTGCAGGGTGGTGAACTAGAAAGAGGAGAGTTTGCAGAATAAATATCCTTATATATTAAGTTGAAATTCATGTTTGTATGTAACCAGTTAGCTACAACTGGAAGCAACATGAAGCTACTGCTTTGACTACTTTGTGTTAATTCCAAGGTTTAATCCTACTATGACTTGAATGTGTAAAAATGTCTACAATATATAATTAATTAGCCTGCAAATTATATTGCGGCCAGCCTGTTGAACTTCAATATTCATTATGATCTACACACTTGGTTCGAATTAATTAATTAATTAAACTAGTTTGAGTCAAAGATACGTATGATTGAAGATGGACTTTTATGGCGTTAACTCAAACTTTATATTTTGCATTGGATGAATGTCAAATATGATTGATAAAGTCAATGGAACCATTTTTACGGGTTTTTCCTTAAAATTTGACTACAACACATTTCTAAAACCCTGCAACGTCATACTTATGATACGAAACTTTTTCTAAATAATTTTTTTTTTTATAATTTCGAAATATTTAATATATGATTTAGTATTTTAACATAAAAGGTCTATTTTACCCTTCCTTCAATTAACTTTTGTACAAATGATGTAAGTGGTTAATTATAAAGGGTAATTGGCAGTTATCTTATCTTAGAGGGGGTTGCAAAAAATTAACCCTAACAAGACCTAACAGAATTGAGGAACTGAGATATTTATCCTTCAGGTTCTCCAAATGAATCTTTATATTTGATTATAAAAATAAGAGTCTAATAGACTGTTTATTCTTTAAATATAAATTAAAAAGTGAGTTTGATTCTCTATATCCAGATAATCAAATTTTATTCTATATCCCAATTTTATTTAATAAATTATAAATTTCTATGTATTTTATTATTAATTTTCTCTCATATTAAGTTTCTCTCATATTTATTAAATCATATTTAAAGAGTCCATTAGATTTGAATACAAATTTTATTTTTTATATTTATAAATTAATAAAGATGTTTTTTATTTATGTAAAATATGCTCTTTAAAATAAAGAAAACTATTGAAGATGCTCTAACATAATATTTTTTTTATTCACCTGTAGAAGATTGAAACCTCATAGAATGTCTATGTAATTAACTCTAAAGAAATAAAGATAGAATGGTGGATAATTGGATAATTGATGATAATTTTTTTTTTTTTGGGTGATGGGATGTTCGGATCCGTTTGTGTGTACCTCAACTAATCTTTTAGAGTTTTAAAATTGACAGTCGAGTAAATCTCTTAAATGATCACCTCTATTAACAACTCAAATAAATCAAACTCAAAACCTTTAATATGTCTAAAAATCTTATAATTTATCAGTGGTTAATACAAATAGAACAAACTCAATACTTTTGAATAATACGATCTAAAATTCTTATAATTTTCTTTCCACCAAAATATTAGTAATTTGGATGGATAAGATAGTAAATAGAAATGGTGTATGACAAAATGTATCACATCGTTTGCATAGTGGCACAGGATGGAGAAGCAGCAAGTGCAAGCACAAGCAAGTGGAGGTATTGGTTTTTTTTTTTTTTTAATTTAAAATAAAATAATTGAGCAGAAAAGGTGTAGCAAATAGCCAAAAATCATTGAAGTGACAAGACATCTTTTATGGCCAGCTACAATAAAATCACAAGTTCACGACCTGAAAAAGTTCATCTAACACCCACTACATTTCTAGCTCCAATTTTTAAACCTCCATTTTCGCCTGTCAACCGCTTAACATTTTTTCTTCAATAATCATAAGAATTGTCGATAGATATGTTTTGACAAAACCAAATCTCAAAAATGAAAAGGCGCAGCAGGTAAGCAGAGATACAGTACAAAGTATATGTGTGTATATATATATATATATATATATATGATCCCGTACGGCCTGTTCCAGATTGACAGTAAAATAAGAAGTTGCCACTTGGCAACACATGCTTCCCATTGGCCCTAAAAACCACGATGTCGTGTTTCATTAACCAGAAAAACTACACCTTAGCAGCACAGAATCATCTCTCTTGAAAAGCCTACAAGACTGTCATAACTGAAATTGTGAACCTACATTACAGAGGCAGGAATAGTAGGGGCCGAGACAAAACACCAAATCTAGAAACAGATATAGTAAGTAGCAGGGAAGCGAGTTCAAACTAAGAAGCAGGATTGGGGTTTTTGTTGTGTGAGAGAGAGATCAGAGATGGTGAACACAAGGTGCTACTTGGACATAAGCATAGGAGGAGAAGTAGAAGGGAGGATAGTGGTGGAGCTTTACAAGGATGTTGTCCCCAAAACGGCTGAGAATTTCAGGGCTTTGTGTACTGGTGAGAAAGGCATTGGTCCTCACACTAGTGCACTCCTTCATTACAAGGTTTTCTCTTCTTTCTCTCTGAAATATATTTTATTTTTATGACTATTTTTGTATTATCGTCATAGTTCTTTAATTATTTTTTTCTCCATATGGGAATATTATATATTTTGTTTGTGGGGCTTGATGAGTGTTCAAATAGGTTGTTTTTGCGTTGGGAGAAAGTTGCTGGCCTTTCTTTTTTTTTTTTTGTGAGTAATTATGTTTAACTTTTGTTTGGATGATTGGTTTTATCACTGGCTTTCTTTTCTTTTCTTTTCTTTTCTTTTCTTTTTGAAAGATGTTATAAGTTTTGCCTGTGTATGCGATGAGTATGATATTCTAGAAAGGCGTGTATCAAGATTTTCTGTTTTTTATTAACATGGGCAAATGCATTTCAGGTTAGTCTTTTAACCTCCAATGTCAAAAGGATGGGATATTTGGGACAATGCAGATTTAAGTTCTGAATTTTTTTCTTGTTTCCAAAAAATCTTAAGACAGTTGTGATTTAAGGATGTACAATGGAAATGATTCTTTTGTGGTCCTTTTGATAGATAGACTGTTTCCTGATGTGAATGGTGAGAAAAGGGCTCTTGTTACTAAATGAGCAATTGACTTTTTCTATCCTCTCTCTCTTCGAGTACTATACCTAGCCATTTCTTTTTTCTGGGTTTAGCTTATGGCCATTTTGATACTTTTAAGTTGAAAATTGATAGTATTCTCCGTGTGGTAGGGAATTCCATTGCACACTTTTTTCATCACTGTACAAACACATGTTGTAAAGAATCCCTGTTGCCAATTAACGTCTTGGGGATTCTTATATAAAGACATAATATACTGGTGTTTTAAAGGATTTGATAAAATGCGCTGCAAACGGATAGCCCCTGTAAATTTGTGCTAAAGCTTGGCATTGCTGAGGTTTGTTAACATAACATTGGTACAGTGAGATCTAGGACTTTGAGATATTCAGTATGTAGTGACAACTCTTAAGATATCAATCACCTGTTTTTAAGCCTAGTACAAAGGTGCTTGACTATATTACTTGTTCAAGCTCTAGTTCACTTGGATGCTGTCTTGTACCTTTACTAAACCTTTTGTTGATGCTAGATCTTTTTTTTTTTTTTTAAATTCAGGGTGTCCGTTTTCATCGCATTATCAGAGGATTCATGATACAAGGTGGTGATATATCTGCTGGGAATGGAACTGGAGGAGAATCCATTTATGGCTTGAAATTCGAAGATGAAAACTTTGAGTTTAAACATGAAAGAAAGGGAATCTTATCTATGGCTAACAAAGGCCCTGATACCAATGGATCTCAGTTCTTTATAACCACCAATCGAACTCCCCATCTAGATGGGAAGCATGTGATATTTGGTAAGGTAATTAAAGGAATGAGTGTGGTTCGTGCTATGGAGCATGTTGATACTCAGGATGGTGACTATCCCACTCGGGATGTAATAATTATGGATTGTGGAGAAATTCCCGAGGGGGCAGATGATGGAACTTCTAACTTCTTTAAAGATGGTGATATTTATCCTGATTGGCCAACTGACCTTGATACAAAACCAGAAGAAATTTCTTGGTGGATGCAAGCTGTTGACTCTATTAAATCTTTTGGAAATGAGCAATTCAAGGTAACTGATGATTTAGTTTGTCAGTAGTATAAAATTACCAGCCTTGAGCCCTATCCCCTCCCTTAGTTGAATAAAGGAAAAACTGTATTATACATCTTTGATATTAATGCCATTATGGCATACATTTACAGTTTCATCACCAATTTGATCCTTTAATTTCCTTTTGCTTTAATGATTAATTTTCTGCTATTCACTGGATGTTGCCAAACTGATTTCTATATACAGAAGAAAGACTATAAAATGGCTCTTAGAAAGTACCGAAAGGCTTTGCGCTACTTGGATGTTTGCTACGAGAAGGAAGGCATGGATGAAGGTGAATGATCAGTTCTGTACTTGATGCTTTTGACTTATGATCTTATTGGTAGCTAGCTCTAGTAGTGTATTATTCTGCTGGCTTTTGTTCCTATGATGATTTTATATTTGTGATCGTACAGAGAAAAGCTCATCTTTGAGGATGATGAAGTCCCAAGTTTTTACAAATAGTGCTGTAAGATTTCTCTCACTTTTTAACTGTTCTACAGGCATAATTTAAAAAGATCCAGGCATTGATTATTTTCAAGTTTCGTAGGGATTTGATTTCCTTGAGTTGTATGTTTGCATTGTCATTTAGTAAAAAAAGATATTAGCCTTATAATTGCTCCTTTAATTTCTCTACTTCATTTAATCTAGTTCCATTGTTTCTTTATTTTCATTCATTTCTCTGTGATATCTTCAATTCCTAATGTCCTTTTCTCATTATTGATGTGATTGAAATTTTCCATGTTTGCTTCCTTGTTCCCCACTATTGAAGGCATGCAAATTGAAGATGGGTGATTTGAGAGGAGCATTGTTGGATACAGATTATGCTACACGTGATGTAGATGATAATGTGAAAGCTTTTTTTCGTCAAGGCCAGGTCAGTATGTCAAAATGGGAGAACTTAGTGGTGAAAATCATAATTTAAGAGCTTGTAGATTAATTTGTGTACTGTAAAGGAAATATATATAGTCTTTCAGAATAGTGTATAATGCAGAAGTGTAACCTTGGAGATATGTTACTTTATAAAAAATGCCAAGATTTTGGTCGGGAGCCCAACCGTTACTTCAGTAGATTCAGTTGCTGAAAGATATTTGTGTGTAACTTTGACACTCAACCTATGGTAATGTGACTGTATTGGTTGGTTGGGGCATATTTTTAATTATGGCTCTCATTGCTGCCCGTTTGTTTACTCTGAACATGATTCAACCTATGGTAATGATTTTTCAATTCTTATCTGTTGTTTGTATCACCAATAACGATCCAGATTAAAAGAAATACTGATTGGGTATTCGTCTGAATTGACCTTCAATTATAATGCTACCAATCATTCTTTATCTTCATTTTTCTGGATCGTTAGAGAAAAAAACACGATGTTGTAAATTTAGGTAAATGGTTGATGGATTCAGTTTGCCACGTGTTATTTATTGCTTGTATACTTGTTATCCTCTTTCTCGTTAGTGAAAAAGTGACTGCAAAAGGCATGACTCTTTTTTTTTTTTGTGTGTGCGTGTGTTCTTGTTGTTGTTCTTTTCTAGCTACATACAGGCTGATTAACTTTTGTAAAGCATGTTTTTTGTGAAGTACTTTCTTACATATTTAATTAGTTGTACTGACCTCAGGCACATATGGCACTTAATGACATAGATGCTGCTGTTGAAAGCTTCAAGAAGGCAATGGTGTTGGAGCCAAATGATGGTCAGTGGCAATTTCTTTTTATATGGTTTTTCATTTTCTTTTAAGTTTTGCTTAATGTAATTGACTTTGATTTTGACGTGTAGTTCAATCATAAGCTTTAAGAAGTGAGGTTGCTACTCTTATAATTATGTCATCAAAATGATAAAAAATGTGTACTTCAGGAATTATGGTCTGTGAGAAAGTTGAATACTGGAATTCAGTTTAGTGAGCAACACATGGAATTTTTCCTGGAAATGATCATATCTGGACTTTAAACCCTGTTTTTTGTCTTTCAGGAGGAATAAAAAGAGAGCTGGCTGCTGCAAAAAAGAAGGTTAGTCATTTACACATGTTCTAATTCTAGTAGGCCAAGTAATGGTGCTTCAGAGCCTGAAATTTGTTTAATGTGGAAATAATTACAGATTGCCGAAAGACACGATCAAGAGAAAAAGGCGTATGCAAGAATGTTTCAATAGGTTTCAGCTGGTGTGTGGTATGGTAACCACCTTTTTATGTGCTTTGTGATAAGTTATAATTCATGTTCTGAAATGCAGGCTGACTTTTGTTTGGAAGGGTCAATTTTTTGTTTCTAGGCACATCTTAGGTCTCAGTCATCCAATACCAAGTTTTTGCTTATGGACTTTGGTTGGCTTTTGCATCAGGTACTGCTTCTGTCTCTGATTTTTCATTATGGCATCAGTTCCTTGATGAATTTATTGACATAATGATTTGATAAAAAGGTCTCAGTGTGTTAATTTTTTTTTTTTTTTCTTCTTTTGGAAGTAATAGTTGCTTGATTAGTGCTGCAAGTATTAATTAGTTTAGCTAATAAGGTCTCTTGTGGTTTAATTATATAGGTCTTGGGCTCACTCACTAGGGTTTCGAGAAGATTTGGGGTGACGGGGTTTAGATAGGTTAAGAGAAGAAGGAAAAAGAAAAAAGTGATTTGATCATCTGTGAGTTTTATGGTTAAAATGATCTAATGAAAGCCGAAATCTTGGATTATAGTTTGCTTATCTTAAGATGAAAATTTTCTTTTTGTTCAGGTTTGTTGGAGGGCAGAAAGCGAAAGCTCCCATCTAGATGGGAAGCATGTGATATTTGGTAAGGTAATTAAAGGAATGAGTGTGGTTCGTGCTATGGAGCATGTTGATACTCAGGATGGTGACTATCCCACTCGGGATGTAATAATTATGGATTGTGGAGAAATTCCCGAGGGGGCAGATGATGGAACTTCTAACTTCTTTAAAGATGGTGATATTTATCCTGATTGGCCAACTGACCTTGATACAAAACCAGAAGAAATTTCTTGGTGGATGCAAGCTGTTGACTCTATTAAATCTTTTGGAAATGAGCAATTCAAGGTAACTGATGATTTAGTTTGTCAGTAGTATAAAATTACCAGCCTTGAGCCCTATCCCCTCCCTTAGTTGAATAAAGGAAAAACTGTATTATACATCTTTGATATTAATGCCATTATGGCATACATTTACAGTTTCATCACCAATTTGATCCTTTAATTTCCTTTTGCTTTAATGATTAATTTTCTGCTATTCACTGGATGTTGCCAAACTGATTTCTATATACAGAAGAAAGACTATAAAATGGCTCTTAGAAAGTACCGAAAGGCTTTGCGCTACTTGGATGTTTGCTACGAGAAGGAAGGCATGGATGAAGGTGAATGATCAGTTCTTTACTTGATGCTTTTGACTTATGATCTTATTGGTAGCTAGCTCTAGTAGTGTATTATTCTGCTGGCTTTTGTTCCTATGATGATTTTATATTTGTGATCGTACAGAGAAAAGCTCATCTTTGAGGATGATGAAGTCCCACGTTTTTACAAATAGTGCTGTAAGATTTCTTTCACTTTTTAACTGTTCTACAGGCATAATTTAAAAAGATCCAGGCATTGATTATTTTCAAGTTTCGTAGGGATTTGATTTCCTTGAGTTGTATGTTTGCATTGTCATTTAGTAAAAAAAGATATTAGCCTTATAATTGCTCCTTTAATTTCTCTACTTCATTTAATCTAGTTCCATTGTTTCTTTATTTTCATTCATTTCTCCGTGATATCTTCAATTCCTAATGTCCTTTTCTCATTATTGATGTGACTGAAATTTTCCATGTTTGCTTCCTTTTTCCCCACTATTGAAGGCATGCAAATTGAAGATGGGTGATTTGAGAGGAGCATTGTTGGATACAGATTATGCTACACGTGATGTGGATGATAATGTGAAAGCTTTTTTTCGTCAAGGCCAGGTCAGTATGTCAAAATGGGAGAACTTAGTGGTGAAAATCATAATTTAAGAGCTTGTAGATTAATTTGTGTACTGTAAAGGAAATATATATAGTCTTTCAGAATAGTGTATAATGCAGAAGTGTAACCTTGGAGATATGTTACTTTATAAAAAATGCCATGATTTTAGTCGGGAGCCCAACCGTTAATTCAGTAGATTCAGTTGCTGAAAGATATTTGTGTGTAACTTTGACACTCAACCTATGGTAATGTGACTGTATTGGTTGGTTGGGGGCATATTTTTAATTATGGCTCTCATTGCTGCCCATTTCTTTACTCTGAACATGATTCAACCTATGGTAATGATTTTTCAATTCTTATCTGTTGTTTGTATCACCAATAACGATCCAGATTAAAAGAAATACTGATTGGGTATTCATCTGAATTGACCTTCAATTATAATGCTACCAATCATTCTTTATCTTCATTTTTCTGGATCGTTAGAGAAAAAAACACGATGTTGTAAATTTAGGTAAATGGTTGATGGATTCAGTTTGCCACGTGTTATTTATTGCTTGTATACTTGTTATCCTCTTTCTCGTTAGTGAAAAAGTGACTGCAAAAGGCATGACTCTTTTTTTTTTTTGTGTGTGCGTGTGTTCTTGTTGTTGTTCTTTTCTAGCTACATACAGGCTGATTAACTTTTGTAAAGCATGTTTTTTGTGAAGTACTTTCTTACATATTTAATTAGTTGTACTGACCTCAGGCACATATGGCACTTAATGACATAGATGCTGCTGTTGAAAGCTTCAAGAAGGCAATGGTGTTGGAGCCAAATGATGGTCAGTGGCAATTTCTTTTTATATGGTTTTTCATTTTCTTTTAAGTTTTGCTTAATGTAATTGACTTTGATTTTGACGTGTAGTTCAATCATAAGCTTTAAGAAGTGAGGTTGCTACTCTTATAATTATGTCATCAAAATGATAAAAAATGTGTACTTCAGGAATTATGGTCTGTGAGAAAGTTGAATACTGGAATTCAGTTTAGTGAGCAACACATGGAATTTTTCCTGGAAATGATCATATCTGGACTTTAAACCCTGTTTTTTGTCTTTCAGGAGGAATAAAAAGAGAGCTGGCTGCTGCAAAAAAGAAGGTTAGTCATTTACACATGTTCTAATTCTAGTAGGCCAAGTAATGGTGCTTCAGAGCCTGAAATTTGTTTAATGTGGAAATAATTACAGATTGCCGAAAGACACGATCAAGAGAAAAAGGCGTATGCAAGAATGTTTCAATAGGTTTCAGCTGGTGTGTGGTATGGTAACCACCTTTTTATGTGCTTTGTGATAAGTTATAATTCATGTTCTGAAATGCAGGCTGACTTTTGTTTGGAAGGGTCAATTTTTTGTTTCTAGGCACATCTTAGGTCTCAGTCATCCAATACCAAGTTTTTGCTTATGGACTTTGGTTGGCTTTTGCATCAGGTACTGCTTTTGTCTCTGATTTTTCATTATGGCATCAGTTCCTTGATGAATTTATTGACATAATTATTTGATAAAAAGGTCTCAGTGTGTTAATTTTTTTTTTCTTCTTTTGGAAGTAATAGTTGCTTGATTAGTGCTACAAGTATTAATTAGTTTAGCTAATAAGGTCTCTTGTGGTTAATTATATAGGTCTTGGGCTCACTCACTAGGGTTTCGAGAAGATTTGGGGTGACGGGGTTTAGATAGGTTAAGAGAAGAAGGAAAAAGAAAAAAGTGATTTGATCATCTGTGAGTTTTATGGTTAAAATGATCTAATGAAAGCCGAAATCTTGGATTATAGTTTGCTTATCTTAAGATGAAAATTTTCTTTTTGTTCAGGTTTGTTGGAGGGCAGAAAATTCTGGCAATATCTTGGTCGAACGAATCAAAAGGAAGCTTCAACTGAATTTTTTCCTAGATTCTCTCATTTTTGTCAAGTCAAGAAAGTGGCACCTTATTGTAGGTTGAAACTATATTGGGACTTTATAAACTAATCTGAAATCATCCAAATAGTCTTGCTATGCTTCGTACAAGAAAGCTTTTTATCTGATGAAAGATTGATGTTTTCCTCTTCTTTATTAGCTTTTTATTGATGTTGCTTTTTGCTCTTCTCATCGGTTGTGGGTTTCTCCTACTAGATTCAGCAATTAGTCTGGCTCGAGCTTTGGGGATAGCAAATCCCCTGTTCTCTTGGGCTTCCACCTTGATGTTTAAATCTTGTTCCTCTGCCTCTCTTCCTCTACTTCCTTCTTCAAATTGCTTTCCCTCCATTCTTCTTCTCTTGGATCTGTTTACAGAGTAAGATTCTTTTAATCTTGACAAAGCAAAGTTTCGGCTTACTTCAGCTGCATGCTTTTGCTCTATGGACACAGAAATCCGCCAATCAGCAAGTGATGTTTCTTCTTTAGCTTTTCTTGTGAGGGCATGATATTCTTCATGAGTCAGGTGGACAGTGGTACCATCAATCTCTGAAATTTTGATGTAGCGAAGTGCTTCAGCAGCGGATGCCCTGAAAGCCTCGGATTCTATCCGTGCAGCACGAAGTGTTAGTTGGGATGTTCGAAGCGTCTGCCTCCTTAGCCTAGAGACTTGTTTAAGTTTTGATCTTGCTCTCAGTTCTTCATCTGCAGCCAGCTTCAGAGTTTCCAGCTCTTCCCTTGTTTCATCTAAAGTCTGACTTAGTTCGTTGATCATCCTTGTAGCATTGAGTTCTTCCTCCTTTTTGGCTCTTATGGACTTGACACTAGTCTCAAGTTCTGATTGAAGCTCCGAGACCACAGTATTAGATAACGAATAACGGTTTTTAGCAGTTGCAAGGCCTGATTTGAGTCTTTCAAGTTCATCAATGAGAGGCCTGGAGTCTAACCACGACTGTGTTGCACTGTCCTTGGCTCTCTTGAGTTCTTCCTTCATCTTCACTAATTCTTCTATCTTGGCCTCCAGTGTTATGACATCATGTTCTTTTGATTCCCTTGCTTTCCTGACCAAGTAGCTATCTTTGTTATCTTCATCAGCTGATTCCATCTCCAATAATTTCAGAGTAATCTCTGGTTTCAGTCATGTATTCCCATTACTGCTTTTGAGTTTTTATGAATGTTTGTGTGTGGTTCATGGTTTGTCTGTTTGGTTATTCCAAATAATTGTTAGTTTAAAATAAATAACAGGTGGCGTAGTGCATCTATAATTTTATGAACAAACCAACCCATATTCCAAAGTAGGCTTTGCTATCACCGGCTTATGTCTCTTGGTTTTTCTTCACAGTTGTACGGCAGGACAAGATGCTCTCTGGGAAAACATCTTAACCTGTTCTCTCATATTTTATCACTCATAATTGAAATCCCATCATATCGGCTTCAGCTACCCATTGAACCAAGTTCCATAGGATATGCTAAATCTACTTTTAAATTATTTGGGATTAAAACAAACAACCATTGTAATCTCCCAAGACATTTATACCTTTTAAATTTGTGTAATTATATTTGATTAGATTGAAACTAAGAAGAGTTGAACCTCAAATATTCCAAACCATACAAACAAATATGTTATAAGATGCCTTTAATGAGTGGTCCAAACCCTTCGAGGATGACAATTAATTAAGACACTTGAAATACTACAAATAACAAGCACTTGGAAAGACTTACGTTTTCTATATTCTTGTAATCAGACTATCACAAACCCATGAATCTGTCTTTTCGAATGAAAAAGATAAATGTAACATTATCCTCCTAGAATTCTATATACGATTCAGCTATTGGAAACCCATAAAAATATAATTTATACACCCTTTTTTTATACGTGAACTTTTCAGTTTGGCTCCATGTGTTATATTAATACAATTTATACTCTTTGGAAATAGCCATGATACCCATAAAGAATGCTCATGCTCTCATACCATTCTTTTAAAACAATGGTGATTCCTAAAGCCATCCATCAAGTAGAAACTAAACTGCCCCAATCATAATACAAGTAGCTTTAAATCTATTTACCAAACAAGGTTTTCAACGTCTCATTGTATTAGAATGCTGTTAAGGATTCTGGATGACGAGAACCCGTTCTCTGTATTATCAGCAATTGTCTGTAAATTCGAATAGTTTGCAGGGGCTGACCGTCCCTTAGGGCTGGGTGGCCATGGCCCATGGTTAGCCCAAGTTTTACAAAACGTTTGCAATTTTATGTATGGAAAATTCTTCGAAGTTACAATTTCATAGTTAGTTTTTTTTTTCTTTGACCCCTCTTGTTTCTGAAAATTTTTAATCCCCTTAGCTGTAATATATCTTAAATAAATTTGTTGAACTTTGATCTCATCTATTCATTATACTTCACAATCTAATCCTCCATATATATTTTCCGGTTCTTCCATTTCATGTGCCAATTAAAACAAAGATATTACGATGCATCTCATATTTACCTTCATCAATATTGATATTCAGTATAGTACTCTTTTTGGAATAGCCACATCGGCATGGCCTCCCATCCTTTTCATTGATCACACGGTGTTAGCTTCAATTTTCGGAATGTTAAGAAATTAGACATATAATTCTGTATATCAGAAATATGACAATGGATGCATATATCTAGTAATGTTCAGATGGATCTTAACTGAAAAAGAAGTTCCAATCAAACTGGATTATTCTTTTAACTGAATTAAGGACAACTAGCTGATGCTACAACTGTTTTTTATTTTCTAATACAAACACACGTTATTAGGCTGAACATTTCATGCCTCAAACGGGAGCTTCAATGGACTTATTGGAGCCTGAGCTTACGTTGTTCTGAGAGTAGTTTGGCAAATTTTTCAAGAGCTTCTTCATTGGTACCCTCTCCCTCAATTTTCTCAAACCTGCCAGTCTCCAAGTTTACTCTTGACACTTGCTCCTTTAACAAACTATTTCCAATCTCTATAAGCTTTTCCATGTTCTCCTTAGTCGAAATATCAACGGATGAAGCATCACCAGTTAACGTGTCAACCTGTGCAAGTGTGAAACCACCACCAGAAAATGTTTAACTATGGACCTTATAATAAAAGAGCAAACACGGTAGTGTGGTCATGATGAGCAAATAGAAGCAATGAGAATATGTGATCTTTCTACCTGAATTCGAAGGTAGTTGTTGTGAGAACCAGAAGACTGAAAAAGTGTTGACACATGAAAATCAACCATATCAGAGCTTGCATCACCAAAAATATCAAGCAATGGTGTTCTGCCAATGTCATAGACCCAATTGAGCAAGCCCCATTTGGAGGCCATGGCTGCATTGTATTTTTGCTCTTTCTTGGCCGCACCAGTGCCTAGTGATAGCACTAGCATTTGTGTGCTGTCAGTTGGATTTATGCCAGTGAATTCTGACTTGTTTTTAAAGATCTCCTTTGAAATGTGACTTATAGCCATCAGTGCCTACAAATTTAGATTCAGAAGGTCATTTTTTCAGTAATGCAACATGATCAATGTATGATATATTATATACTTAGCTAATGCTGCTTACAGGATTATTTGCAGCAACTCCTCCATCAACCAGATCAAAAGTGCGGGTTTCTTGAGTCTCATCCTTAATCTCAAAGTAGTGTGCTGGGAAGTATGTGGGAGCTGCAGCGGTACTGATGCATATATCAGCCAACCGTGCATTCTTCAAAGCATTTTCTTTTGCCTAAACATAATTTTCAAATATCACTGGCTAATATGAATTTCTCATCTTAGTAAATTAACTACTGCAGCTTTTTAGTATCAAACCTCGTTGGTTGAGAAGATAACAGGCTGAAGTAGCTTGATGTCGAAAGCTGGTATAACCACTTTAGCTAGGGTTTGTTTCACAGTTGTGTCTCCTAGCAGCTGGTTCGTAAGTGAGTGGAGATACTTCCCATCATACTTTGGTCCGACCATCGTTACCACTGAGCTTGCAATTGAATTTAAGAAATCCCAGCGACTGATTTCACAAATATCAAATTAAAAATCCATTCATCAGAGTAAACCCCTTCAATTTGCTTGTCACAAAGAACGGGGAAAGAAAACTTGCATTGTATATTCTATTGTTTGAACTTACGTAAAACAATACATATTATTAATATATTTGAAAGGAAAAGTCAAGAAGGCCCTTCAAAATGTTTAGCCAACAAAATTTACCTTCATGAATAAAAAGTACGTTGTTCAGTTATTCTTAATTTCTTATTGTGTTGTTTTATTTTCTTTTTCGAATTGACGTATTTAATTTATAATAGAATTTACTGAACAAAGGGAAAGAAACTTCAGCAATACTAATTACTTAAATTCTCAATCACATATTACATATTTAATTTACCTAGATTGAGGGAAAATCTTAGGACAGTGCTCAAGGTAGAAGTTATTTATATCCTTAGCAGCATAAAGAGGTCTGCCGTCGTTGTTAGGAGCTGTAAGCATGGTGGTTATCAGCCCACCTGTGCTTGTTCCGGCGACTATATCGAAATAATCTGCTAGTCTTGCATTTGGTCCATCCAATTCCTGGCAAAAGGCAGATATACACCAGACAGAGAGACCATGATGAATAAATTATAAGCTATTGAAAAATTAAAATGACAATGATAGGAGGAGAATAAGCTATGGGTAGAGCATGTGGTGAGGTACCTGAAGCTTGGATTCGAGAAAGGCTAAAATAGTGCTAGGAATAAGACCTCTAACGCCACCTCCATCGATGCTCAACACTGTTATTTTCTTCCCATTACCAGTGCTAGTAGCCATTTTGATTCAAAAGAGTTGCTTGAAAATCAACTTTCTAAACTAGCAATTTTAGTAGAAGTGAATACGACTCTATGAGGCACTTCAAAGAGGGTAAAGTTAATGAGTATTTATAACAGAGTACAGACACTTGAACTAATGAGAAAGAAAAAAGTAAGGGAGAAAAGATAGAGCATGCATGATACACGTGATATTAATAAATATAAAAGTAGTAGTTTGAAACTCTGAGTCTCTCTTTGAACTTTAAGCACACTTTTATTGAACTGGTCAAAGTTTCAGTAAAAGAAAATAAAAATTATATAATTTTATTTTGTTAAACATCATTTGAAACTTAAATTTTAAGGATTTATCATTAGTTTTATACAACATCAACATGCACCTTCAGTTATACATCATCATGATCAATTAGAGGACAGGTTTGATGCTATTACTTTGTCAGGATTTAATTACACTTTTTGTGATTTGTTGGTGTGCATATTTAATTCAAGAATTTATATATTATACCATAGATTTATTATTAAAAATGAAAATGAAAATTAAAAAGATATTTTCTATAAATGGTCATACTTAGATTAGATATCGATTTAGTACAACTCTTTAATTTTAGGGGATTTTTTTTTTTTTTAAAGAATAAAAAGAAAATAAACTCGTTACATAGAAATGTAACATAGTCCCTTTATTCGATAGAGATTATTAGGTTTATTACTCAAGAGATTATGAGTTCAAGTCTTTCATCGATTACTAATAAGGATAACCACTGAAACTCTTATCCGACTAATAGTTTTAGGATTCTAAAGAATTAATTGAGGTACGTATAAATTAACTTGGTCTGATGATTAAAAAAAAAGACATAATCCCTTTAATACTTATTTTACTTTTATTACTGCACACAATTTCCGTGCGCATTTGCACGTGACACACGAAACCATATTTTTATTTACTTAAGATTAATTTTAAGTTTTTTAATGGAAAGGAAAACTGAGGTGTTGGTTTTTCTAGACGGGGAAGGTGTTTTTAAATCCGAAAGCATCTTGCCGACCATCTTAAATTTTGAAATCGTTTTATAATGATGTTTCTATCACATGATTGATATAAATTAATGTAAATTGTCATTTTCCTCATTTCAGTTCTTCCAAGTCTTTGGCGTGGTTTTAAATGATTGATATCTTTCACATGTATATTACGACCTTAACTAGATGATCACTTTATTTAGTTAGTTAATTTAAAATGTCGACCTTTTATGCGTGACAAACATGGCTTATTCATCTTCTGGATGACTTCTAATATGATCTTAATTGGAAAATTATTGTAAAATATTGTCCCTTTTATTTAGTTGAGCCTAATTTATCGAAACTGATGATTCGAATACTTAGAAAACATCAGTTACTCCACCAACCAAAACTGTGTCCAGAAAACTATATATTACTCTGTCGGAATTTTTTAAGTCAGCCTGAAAAGACACGTGGGTGATGATTATTGCTTGATGTTAAAGCTTTGGAAATATTGTTAGAAAAATCGCAGGTAGTGTAACCCATCCCCAATGTTTACTCATGCTCCAATTAATATCAGATATAATGTTAGAATTACTTATGATTAACAATGAATATTCAAAATCCCGCTATAGTTTTAGAAATTATAAAAATGAATAATATAAACTATCCTTTTTGTAGGGTTTTATTGTACATAATATAGGTAAACCCTAGGGTTTTTTTTTTAAATAATAAAACCCCATGCTTTGGCCTTTTAAAAATGAGCACCCACTATTTCTGAAAATACTATTCTACTCCTTAGGTGTTTGACCTTTTCTATAATGAGTATCTTTTGGTTTCGAAAATACAACTTTTACTTTCTTTTGTGTAAACACCCTCTGGTTTCAGAAATATCATCATTTCAACCTTCAAATTAATCAACAATTCATCAATTAACCTCTAAAAAATATATTAATCTTTCAATATTATTGATAAATTTTAAATGTTAGCTTGATTAAATTTGGGTGCATAGTAAAAGAGACATTTCCTTCAAACTTAAACAGAAAAATGTAAAAATTCACTAAAAAATAAGAGTTAGGATCGTATTTCCGTAACCAGAGACTGCTCACCACAAAAAATGTCAAATACACAAGAGTGAAGATGTGAAGTCGCATTTCTTAAACTACCCGGTGTTTAAAAAAAAAGGTGAAATAAATGGGGGTTAATTTGCTTTGAGATAACTTCAGGCGTTTCTTGTAATTGACCTTTCTGAAATTGTAATGGATGCACGGATATCAAGCAAGCTGCGGTGCTGGAGCTTAGCACCACGCATCTTGCGGTCCAACCTCCACCCGTCAACGGCCAACTAAACTAGGTCCACACTGGCCTTCAGAGAGTTCAGTCTCAGTTAAACTTCAGCACGCAGAATCAACATTTAAGTCGATTGAGGTGATCCATTGAAGTTAGTATTTTAAGTTTAAAAGATGTGAAGAGATTAAATAGCTTAACATACTGTATTAATGTTTATGTGCTTGTGTTTTTATGACTCCCCAGTTTAAACACAGTTTCATTCCAATTGGATTTTTCCCATTTTCCTTACAGACAAGTAGATAACTGAACTACAAGGTGACCCAGTTACAACATTAATGCAAACAGTTCATAACTTCATACAATAATTATTTTCTACGACAAACATGCATTACTAAATTGAACTTCTCATGTCCCAAAATCAAGGGAGTTTCAGTTGACTTGGCGCCTCAGTTTTTCTTCTGAGAGTAGTTTGGCAAATTCTGCAAGAGCTTCTTCATTGTTGCCCTCTCCTTCAATTTTCTCAAACCTGCCAGTATCCAGGTTCACTCTTGACACTTGGTCCTTTAACAAATTCGTTCCAATCTCAATAAGCTTATTCATGTTATCTTTAGTCGAAATATCAACAGATGAAGTATCACCAGTTAACGTGTCAACCTATGCAAGTGTGAAAACAACGCAAGAAAATTAATGTTAAACACGGAGGATGTTATTATAACATTCAGCAAATACAGTAGTCACGTGGTCATGAATCATGATGAACAAGTAGAAACTGTGACTTTATATGCGTGATCTTAGTACCTGAATTCGGAGGTAGTTGCTCTTGGCTCCAGACGATTGGAAGATTGTGGACACATGAATATCAACTATATCAGAGCTTGCATCGGTAAAAATGTCGAGCATTGGTGTTCTTCCATTGTCATAAACCCAACTAAGTAAACCCCATTTGGAGGCTTTGGCTGCACTATACTTTGGCTCTTTCTTGGCTTCACCAGTGCCCAGTGATAGCACTAGCAGCTGTGAGCAGTCCATTGGATTTATGTCAGTGAACTGGGAATTGTCGTTGAAGATCTCCTTTGAAATGTGGCCCATAGCTAACATTGTCTACAGATTCAGATTAAATTTTTCATTTTGTTAGTTACGCCACATCCGCTTAGGATTATATATAATTTGCTAATTAAACTAGAAGTTCACCAGTTAAGCTACTTACAGGATTATTTGCAGCAACTCCACCATCAATAAGATCAAAAGTGCGGGTTCCTTGAGTGGCATCCTTAATCTCGAAGTAGTGTGCTGGGAGAAAGGTGGGAGCTGCAGAGGTGCCGATGCATATGTCAGCCAGCCGAGCATTCTTCAAAACATCTTCTTTTGCCTATACATATAATGAATTGGAAAATCAAAAGTTAATTACTGGATTTGGTATAATTAGATAAAGTAGAAAATTTGTGGACAGCTTTATAGTATCATACATCGTTGGTTGAAAAGATAACAGGCTGAAGTAGCTTGATGTCGAAAGCAGGTACAACCACATTTGTTAGGGTCTCTTTGAGAGTAATGTCTCCTAGAAGTTGGTTTATAATTTTCCGGAGGTATTTCCCATTATACTTGGGTCCCGTCATCTCACCCACAAAGCTTGTAATCGGATTCAACAAATTCCAGCTACTGATTCCACGGAAAAATAAGCTTTCATCAGGTAACCCTTCCTTTCGTATTTCGTCATGATAAAAAACCATATATATATATGGTTTTTGTATCTTGGGTAAGAAATGGTTAAATCATTCTAAACATAATATCTTAGAATCCAATGGACCTTAAAAAAATTAAAGTCGAACAAATAATGAAAGGGCACGACACATTAAACCTTTGAATAAGAGTTTTACTTTATGGTTACTTTAATTTTTTATTCCTTTAATACATATAGTAATTGTTTTGTTTTCTCAAAAAGTTCGTGAGGGCGCGATGGAAGGGCCATTGGCCCCCCATCCCCATGCAGTGGCAGTGCAAGATCGGGCCCTCCCATTATTACTTAGTAATATATTTTGAGGGAAAATGCAAGAAAAGCCTTTAAGATGAGTATTAATTTGGATGTCAAATTACCTAGATTGAGGGAAAATCTTAGGAGAGTGCTCAAGATAGAAGTTGTTTAATTCATTAGCAGCAAAGGCAGGTCTCCCCTCCTTGTTAGGAGTTGTAAGCATGGTGGTTATCAATCCGCCCGTGCTTGTTCCTGCAATTATATCAAAATAATCTGCAATTCTTGCATTTGGTCCATCCAATTCCTGCCAAAGCATAGATTCATATATAACAGAAGAAATTTACATAACTACACACCAATAAGAAAGATGACAACGACAGGAGGAGAAAAGGCTATGTATGGTGTGTTGTGTTAGTGAGGTACCTGAAGCTTGGATTCGAGAAAGGCTAAAATAGTGCCAGGAATAAGGCCTCTGATGCCACCTCCATCAATGCTTAACACAGTAGTTATTTTCTTTACTTTGGCAAAACTGGTAGCCATTTTGATTCCAAGTGCTTCTTGACGTTGAACTTTCCGGTGTAATAATATTACTATTAGTTCTGACAGCTAATTTGTGCTTTGCTTGATTGCCTGAAGTATGCAAAAGCGAATGAACTTAATGAGTATTTATAACGAAAGACTAATCAGAAGTTCCCCAATGGGGACCAAGAGAAACCATGCATTTGTTATTTAAGTTTTTTAACCTACCTGTAAACTGTAGTTAAGCACGCCTTTAATGAATTGGTCAAAGATTCTTTTATTAGGTAAAATTAAAATTAAAATTTTGTATTCTTACTTGTTAAAGGCGTTGAAACTCTTGAACATTTATCGCCAGTTTCAATGTCTCATATATGTGCTTTTTCTCTCCTCAATGGCACCTTCAATCTCTTGATATATACCAATGCCATTGTCATGCAGGTGAGTTTAGAGAACAATCAATACAAGCTTATTTTACCTTTTCTACGATAAATAGGTTAAACTAAAGAGAAGGAAGAAAAAGAAAACTTCAATAAATCCACATACTAGTACTAGAAAGGTTTTATTTGGTAAATAGAGATAAATTTGTTAGCGTCGTCGGTGCTCAAAGAGAGAATCAAAGTACAGCATGGAACAAATAAATATAATTGTAGAGTTATATGATATCCTTCCAAAATCATATGATATGGATCCTGCTGGCTACCGTATTCCTACTACTGATATTGGATGCTATTAGTTAGTAAATTAATTTGCTGTAAAGCATATGCTCTGTGTGTTTTGGACTTAAGCTTCACCTTAGTCATCAAATCAAGAGTCCCAGTACTATAGGAACTCATTTTATCATGTGCAAATTAGAATTAGTTTATGGATCAACTGGAAGGATATTGATGATCTGATCGTGGCAATAGTTAGGTTTTGTCGTAATAAAGGTACAGGCTGTCTCGATCCCATTTTTAAGGAACAGAATTCCAAGTCGTTTATTAACAAAGCTGCCGATAGGACAACATTAGTTTTTGCAAATTAATTAAACATATAAAACTCTATGGCACAAATTGTTTAAATTTTCGAAGTCACCATGGATTCCTTCATATCATGTAGCGCACCACTTACCATCAACTTTCTGTTTATATATAATAATGATTATTAATTAAAATTATCTACTCAAGATGCAATTCATGGACGGTGATATTATTTGTTTTATATTAGTCCACGTTTAAGAGTGTTAATGCAAAAATACATCAATTTGAATTATTCCATTGATCTTGGTGGAATCAAAATCAATGTGTGCGTGATTTAACGAAAAACAGTAATTGAATAATTAAAGAGCAAAAATTAGTAATCACAAAAGACAATTTTTAAGGTGTACGTCCACTCCACTGTTTCTCTTATTAAATGAGAATTATAAATGATGAATCTTTTTCTAGAATAATTGCCCAACCCCCCATTGAAAACAAGTTCTTTGGATTTCCCGTACAACAAAGTGAGATATAAATTAGATATTAATTAACTTATGTTAAAAGAATAACAAATTGGTAACACATCTACCAAAATTTATACAGCCGACTATAATCAACTTCAATCCAGATGGTCAATTTTTCATTTCACAGTCTAATGGGTATGGCTTATTCATCTCCTAAAGAGGGTTCACATTATATTGATCTTTTAAATTGATTTAAGTCTGGAAACCTTAATTCAAGATAAGAACTTATGAGGACTTGGGCAGTGAGTGATGGATACACACCTGGAAAAATAGAATTTGAAATTGTATCTAATATATAAGAAGTTTCATCTAGTTTTAACACAAAGAGAGGAGTTATCATGAATTTGAAATTGGATATTAAATGAGAAACTTAATCTAATCCTAATGAAGGAGAGAGATGCTATAGACACAGGAAGCATTACAGTGACTATGGCTTTACACAACTTCAGAGAGTTGGGTTGAAGAAGTTGAGGGGATTTTCATTGTGTTTAGTTTGGACTAGTTTCAGTGTTTGTTGGGAACTTATTCTTAACCATGCTTCCTGCTTTGTTTTACATCAGTGTGGAAATCTTTCAATATATTCCATTGATGGTTTTCTATTCCTAAAGTTTCTGTTAATTGCAGAAACTGGTGTTAATATTGATATCAATTTGGAATTTCTATTCTGCAAGGATTATAGCTATATTCGTCATCCCATTAATTGTTGCTCAAATAACGCAGATTCTAAATTTAACTTCAGGAAGACATCTTAACACTCTTGACTATATGAACTTTATCTGTGTTGATGTTCATTGTTTATTGTCTTTATCCAGTAATCATACATTGTAAGCACTAATTATATTTTACGAGCTGTTACGTCGAAGGTTGTGAGAGATAATTGTGAGATTAAGTTGTGGATCTAACATTTCTTTAATGTGAAATCAATTACACACTTACCAAAAGTTTGTCTTTAGATTACTTTAACAACATTCTATGTTTTCAGTTCCTCTCTTACATGGTTTTTCTCTTGTTCATATTTTGTGACTTATGGTCGTCTTCAATCCGGACAAGCTACCTACCATCTCATATTAGGGCGAGTATATGAGATGTTTAATATTATAAAGAAGGGTCCAAATTGTATTTTGGTAGGAAAAAATATTTTATATCTTATATATTATTTTTCCTCAAAAACATTTTTTTAATTCTTAATTAAAACGTGGTTGGTAATACAAATAAGATTGATGCTAATCTTAATAGGCACAGCTCATCAATTTTGTTTCCTAATTATAATTTTATTTTTTACGAAACTGCTAAATAGTACAAAACAAAAATCATATTTAAAGAGGATAAATCATAAACCTTTATTCTATTTCAAATGTGAGTATGTAACCGTCTTTTTCTATCATAAAGATTTGAGATCATCAGTCAACTTAACTCCTTAAAACCTATCAACAATAAGACATGAACTTGCAAGTTGCAAGGCCGCAGCAGCCACCCCAATTTTTCGGGGTCTTGTTGTGCAAGCTTGTGAAATTGTCCAATCTGGATGTTTGCAAGTAAAATCGGGAAACCATTATTGCTCTTGCCAACCCAAAATACACCATTACTACAACTAGATGATTCTTTGGCGAATGATATGCAATATTTAAGACGTTAGGATTGAGATTTGACTGAAAATAGATGGGGTTTTGGATATTACATCAAATGTGTAGGATTGAAATTTTTTATTTATTTTTTTATTATTATTTTTTTTTTTGATACCAAAGTTTTCAGCCAATTTACACGTATTTTAACTAATCTTTTAGGGAGACTAGCACAACAATCTACTACTACGACCCCCACTTAAATCGTGGATGATCAAATAAAGAATCGAATCTAAGACCGTACGTTTATCCACATTATCTTTAATTCGCTCTAGCCATCTGGATTAGCCACAGATGGGTAAGTGACATAAATTTCTTCAGGTAGGTGATCAACCGTCAACATAATGTATGTATCATAAAATTCTCATTTAGTTATTAGTAAAATGGTGAAGTCAATGTCTCACTTCATTTGTTCCGTTTTAGTCAAAATCTAAGGGATAAACACGTCTTTTTGTTGAAATCACATCATAGAGGTTTGGTTTATGTGAAATCGATAACACACCTACCAAAAGTTTGTCTTTAGAGTTACTAAAACAGCTGTCTTTAGAGTTACTAAAACAGCATTCCTCTCTTGCATGGTTTTTCTCTTGTACTTATTTTGTGACTTATGGTCATCGTCAATCCAAACAAGCTACCTACCATCTCATATTGGGGCGAGTATATGAGAAATTTAATATTATAAAGAAGGGTCCAAATTGTACTTTGGTAGGAAAAGGTATTATATCTTATATTGTATAATTTTTCTTCAAAAACAATTTTTTAATTCTTAATTAAAACGTGGTTGGTAATACAAATAAGATTGATGCTAATCTTAATAGGCACAGCTCATCAATTTTGTTTTCTAATTATAATTTTATTTTTTACGAAATTGCTAAATATTACAAAACAAAAATCATATTTAAAGAGGATAAATTATAAACCTTTATTCTATTTCAAATGTAATCGTCTTTTTCTATCATAAAGATTTGAGATCATAAGTCAACGTAAGTCGTTAAAACCTATCAACAATAAGACATGAACTTGCAAGTTGCATGGCAGCAGCAGCCATCCCAATTTTTTAGGGTCTTCTTGTGCAAGCTTGTGAAATTGTCCAATCCGGATGTTTGCAAGTAAATCGGGAAATCATTATTGCTCTTGTCAACCCAAAGTAGACCATTACTACAACTAGATGATACTTTGGCGAATGATATGCAATAGTTAAGACGTTAGGATTGAGATTTGATTGAAAATAGATGGGGTTTTGGATATTACATCAAATGTGTAGAAGCTGGTTACACACCTTACTACCAAAACTTTATGTTGACAATAGAAGATTACAATTTCTTTTTAGTTCGGGAGAACGACTTACACATACCCAAGGTTTACCGAAACGACAAGTTGGTATCCAAAAGGTTTTGAAACTACAAATAGGTACCTTCCGTCATGTTCTGTTAGTGATTTTCGTTTGATAATAGTGAAAAGACTAAAATACCCTTGAAAGTTTAATATTTTAGGTTTTTATAAATTTAAAAATTTCTAAAAAACCCCTAGGTTTGCTAATTTGACTAAATACGCCAATATATAAAAATTTTATAAAATAACACAAACAGCCACGCCACCCGCAGTGCCATATTCTGGCCACCACCTCCGGAATCTGGCCGGAAAATTGTGTTACAACACAGACCCGTCGGATCTGTGTCGTAACGCATTGATCTGGCCTTTTCCGGCCTCGACTGCCAGATCGACGTGTTACGACACAGATCCGAAGGGTCTATGTCGTAACACAATTTTTCGGCCAGATCAGCCACGGATCTTGCCGGAAAATGCCAGATCTACGCGTTACGACCAAATCCGATGTGTCTGTGTCGTAACACAATTTTTCGGCCAGATTCTGGCTGTGGTGGCCGGAATCTGGCACTGTGGGTGGCGGGGCTGTTTTTGTTATTTTATAAAATTTTTATATATTGGGGTATTTAGTCAAATTAGCAAACCTAAGGGTTTTTTTAGAAATTTTTAAAT